TATATTTTCATTTATTTATTTTCTATTTTTACAACATTTATAATAAGTGTGATTTATTTTTTCATTTAAAATATTTTTTATTGAAGTAGTTTATTTAAGAGTTTTTTACAATTTTCGTCAAAAATCATATGTGATATCCGTAATTAATAGACGTTTCTTTTCCCGAAAAAGAAACGCTGATTTTTATCGATATGTGATACTGGTTATGGTGGAAAAGAAATATAAGTTATCTACAACAATATATGTGATATGTATAAATTACGATTTACATTTTGAAATACATATGATCTTATACATTTAAAATATGTTTTGCTACATATCACATGTGATTCAATGTATCATATGTGATATTCATTATAATGGAAAAGCACTATAAGTCATTGTTTTTCAAGCTTTTAAGCCTTTAACTCACATATGATTAGAAAAATATTTTGAAAAAAAAATAATTAATTGTGAATCATATGTGATTTTGACGAAAATTTTAATTTTTTAAACATATTTCTGTACATAAGAAAATGAATCTTTAAAATAAAAATTAAATACGCTTATTTAAATGCATTAAATATAAAATATTTTTAAATAAAAATTAAATCATAAATATGATAAAAGTAGAGTTTTAAATAAATAGTTTAGTTAAATAACTTTTGTATAACTAAATTATTTTTATGTCTTTATTTATTTTTAATAAAAATGTATCGTCCATATTCATTCTCTTATTTTTTTTAAATACATATCATTTTTGTATGAACCCGTCTCTCTCTCTCTCTCTCTCTCTCGCATTTGATTAGGCCCCTATATATATATATATATATATATATATATATATATAAGGTTGGGTTCACGTGAGACCAAAGGTTTTTCGTGAGACCCGTAAGACCAATTTATATTCATTGATTAACTTTATAAGCTAATAATCTAATGATTTAAAGTTGCACGGTGGTAATTTTGTGATTATTGAGAAGTCTCGTAACGTTTATGAATGTGTAGATTGTCAGATTGTAAATCTAATCCAAAGATTGAGAATTGGTCTTACGGGTCTCACCAAAAACCTTTGGTCTCACATGATCCCATGTCTATATATATATATATATATATATATATATATATTGGAGTAAGATCTTTTGTTAACCAAGAATATGATGTTAACTTTGTAAACTTATTGGACCAATAAGATTCATTTTTTTGTAGATGTTACTTCAAAATTTTGATTTAATGATGAAGAGCAAATAGGTAATTTTTATGTGTAAGTTACTTTTATGGTATTTAATGAGATATTACATATTTTTATGTGTAAATTACTTTTATGGTATTTAATGATATTCATAGGTGTTCATAAGAATATGTTCATAACTATAAGGTATTCATAAGAATGTGTTCATAACCATAAGTTATTCATAAGAATGTATTCATAACCATAAGGTATTCATAAGAATGTGCTCATAAATATGTGTTCAAAACCATAAGACGTTCATAAGACTGTGTTCATAACCATATGATGTTCATAGGTGTTTAAATCTTTTGTTAACCATATATTGTTCATAGCACTACTAGAAAACAAGGTATCAACGACAGAAAAAATCCCTCGCTGATCAGCGAGGGAATTGGCCAAAAACAATTTCCCTCGTTCCCTCACTGATCACGGAAATGCCAAAAACTAATTCCCTCACTGATCCCTTGCTGATCAGCTATGGATCAACGAGAGAATGGCAAAAAACCAATTCCCTCGCTGAACAGTAATGGAATTGGCCGAAAACAATTTCCCTTGTTGTTCCCTCGCTAATTTTTTAATTAATAACTACAAATTTAATTAATTATTAATTATTGATTATTAAATTATCAATTAATTTATTATTTATTAAAATATTACAAAAATTAATTAACAAAACTGAATAAAGCCTATTAGGCCCAATAAAACCGAATAAAATCCAAAAAAAATAGATTAAGACCCAATAAAGCCCATTAAGGCCCATTAAATCGAACAAAGTTTAATAAAACCGAATAAAGTCCAATAAAATAGATTAAGGGCCAATAAAACCAAACAAAGTCTAATAAAACCGAATAAAGTCCAATATAATGGATTAAGACCCAATAAAACTGAACAAAACCCAATAAAATGGGTTAAGGCCCTATAAAACCTAATATAGCCCAAATAACATAGACATACTATCTATATATTCATATATACACATACGTTTAAACATATATACATCATATGTATATAACACGGACCGATGAGTATATATACATATAATACACACACCATCATGTAAACATATGTATATAACACGGACTGACAGGTATATGTGTACTTATAACACATGCACCATCGTGTAAACATATGTATATAACACGAGACGACAAATATATATACATACAACACATGCATATGTGTACATATAATCCACATCATAGTTAGCAACCAAAACATATATATACAAATAACACGTATACATTTATACATACGACACCTACATATAAAAATGCGTACATATACCACACAAAATGAGAAAATAAGAAATTTAGGATAATCCCTCGTTGATCAGCAATGGATCTGTAACGGAATTGGCCAAAAATACTTTCCTTCGCAGATCCCTCGCTGATCAGCATTAGCACCAGGAGATCATACGAGTCAACAGCGGAGGTATGTTGGTTATATTTGTAACATCCCAAAACTTCGAATACTTAAATATATCAAAACTAGTATCCCAAGATCAAACACTTACATTGCAGCGGAAATAAAATTTCTAATCTTACAAATTATATCACCATCTAAATTACAATCTTGAGGAGCATAACTTTGCTTTATATAACAATGCGTTGATCTGCACATATCCTTCTTTGGAGCTAATCCTTATCTCTCTTTATTGCACTTTTCTTTCCACTCAAATAGCCGCCTGGGTGAAAAAGTTTTAAAAGAGTTTTGAGTGAGCATTAGGCCTAGTGAATCCACGGTTTTCATGCATGAACAACAATTTTTATAATAAACAATTTTCACGAAGCTTCATAAATTAGCATGTCTTGATGAGAATAATACTTTTCACAAAATAAATATACTATAGTGCGTGTCTACATCACAAAGCAACAACGTCATGAGAGATGTTTACTTCACACAGCATTACTTGGCGAACTCACATAGCATGTCCGCACTTACGGCTTAGACAAGCTCACAAAGCATGCTCGTCTTTACAAAATCATACCGTAGTACATCCCCATTGACACACAAGTACTCAAAACTTTAATTTATGTTTAACTTCTGTTAGAACTCTATGATTATCCAAATTATATTTTAGATTTTTTATATTTAAAATGAGATGTTTATCCAATATTTGATTATGTTTATCTGCAGTTAGTTACACGAATTCAAATATGGAGCTTTAATAAGTTGTACGTATGCACAATTTACTTGTAATTTTAAATTTTAAGTAATATGCATCAGTTTAAGTATTTCGTGCATAAAAAAAATGGTTTTTAAGAGTTTTTGTCAAATGCTTTGTAATATAGCATAGATAGGTTGATAAGATTAATTTAAAATCACCGTTGGTTTTAAATACTCAACTTATAAAATAAATGCAACCCGATTATGCTTTTGAGTTCTAAATCGAGTTGTTTTAACATCGACAACATCTTTGAAAAATGTCACGAACAAG